ATTAGCGAAATTGCGTATACAACATGCATTATATACGCTACACAGAATAGTTTATTGTATTATTATTACATTAATGCGGGTATCCATTCATGGAATAAGATTGCTCTGGCCTCATAAATCTTTCAATTATTCATCTTCATTTTTTGCTTCATCGAAAAATATAGGCTGTCCCGAAATTCGGAAATCAAAATACTAGTAGAAATGCAAGAAAATTTTCGAAAAGGATAAGTAAAAAAGTATTTATCATTTTTTGTTCTAATAGGTCTTGAGATACAAAGGTTTAAAACTGGCCTCTTTTATTTACAAAGACATAAAAGTTTCAATTATATTACCACAAACAAATTGAAGGCAAGAAAAGGTGTATATCCTTTAGTGATACAAATGATAACAAGTATACATGAGAAGAATCAACATTGCTACATGTTGCATTGAAAACAGTAAATTTACATTTATATTTTACAACAAAAATCAAGATTGTTAAAAATAATAAAAAAATTACAGGTTTTAAATGACTGTGTGTGCTTATTTGTATTGATCAGTTTTAAACCTTTATATCTCAAAAACTACTATTCGGAATGAAAACTGGCAAATGTTTTTTAATTTTTTTTTTTCCCCGAAAATTGTCTTGCTGTAATATTTTGAAACACCATTTATATTTAACGAGACTTTTTTTCTTTTAATTTAATTATCAGTACTGACGATTATTCGTGTAACTAGACTGATAAATAAATCTGCGCAGATAACAATTTATTCTAATATAGCATTTTTTATGTAATATGTAATTGTAATGCGTACTTCTAATTTGCTGTTAGAATTTATTCGCGGTCTCAGATTTTATATATTATTTTTGTTTACGGGATAAGCGTATTTTACCTTTATATAATATTTATAAAAAAAAAACAAATATTCCTCAACAGTATTCGTTTTTCTTATTGCGATTTTTTATTTATAATATTCTTCTACACATAGATTTATTATAAGGAAATTCGTACATTGTAAAAAAGCCTGCATGCATATCCCAGTTTTTAGGACAAAACATCTATTGATTACTATATCTCTCTGGGGCCAGCGTTAACTTAGTCCAGCATTCAAATGCTTCGAATGATACATATACATACTCTGATCTATATATGATGCATTTATTAAATAATTTTAATCTTCATAGATTTGTGAAGACATTTTATGTGAAAAGAGAAAACTCGATCTATGCAGATCATGATATGTCCTTAGTATATATTGGTGTGATACAAGGAATTTCCTTTTTGTGAAAAATGAATGTGATAAAAGTCTGTGTCAGTCTCATAATATTGAGAAAGTGTGAAATCGATAAAACTCTATCAGGATTAATCCTATTGAATAAAGAAATAAATTTGTGTGCAAATATTGTATTTAGCGTATGATATTTATACAATATTACGAGATAGTTAAGGCATGATAATCAGTATTAATATCTTATAACAACTTAATATATGTGGGACATACTTCACAGGAGTTATCATTCTTCAACGTTACATCCATCCTTGAAGCATATCCTACATATGAAATTACATCATGTAATTGCGTACAGAGCAATTAATTTGCAATTAATATAACTCAATTGTCTATGAATATCTATATGTTAAATATATGTACTTTTCTAATCTTTTGAACGTAGAAACAATATATTAAACAACTAAACAAATATTATGTTAAAAAGATATATTTAACTGCAGCTCACACATTTATAAAAAATGTAACGATATAAAATCTTTTCTAACTTATTATATGTATATTATATATAATTTATATTTATTCTGTTTTATATATAAAAAAATCTATGTGCATATGTGCCATTGTATATGTATACAATATACATATTCAGATAAAAGTATAAACAATATATAAGATTATCAAAGAGACGTGGAAAATATCAATATTTATGGTTATAAAAAATAAGAAAGATTATACATTATATGCTGTCTTATGGGACGGTCATAGAATTCATGTGATGTACGTTGTCTTTATTTGATGTTTATATGTATAATCTCAATTTATGAAAGCTTTTTGATGATACATAATTATAATCTTAATTTACCAAAGAATTTTTAATAATTATAACTTTAGTATTTTGATGTATTATGATAGCATAAATGTCCTTTTATTTATAGTATTAAGAAATATAAATTATTTATTATACAAGTTTTCGTGTCCCATTCAAAATTATTAAATTTGCAAAATTTATGCACATATGTGTGTGTGTGTGTGTGTGTGTGTGTGTGTGTGTGTGTGTGTGTGTGTGTTTTAGAAAGAAAAATTTTGTTCTGTTTGAGTAGATTGTCTACTTGACTGTAAGTGTACTTCAGGAGCGAAGGATTAAATAAATAACATACTAAATTTTATTAAGATTATTTGTTTTTATATTAAATAAGTCTTATAATGTATAATTAATATTGAACATGTTTTATAATGAATATTAAGTATAGAAAAAAATAAATGCAACTATGTACAAATTCATGTACCTTTGTATTTGAAATTAACTTTTGTGTATTTGTAAAACTCGAAGTTTATAATATAAGTTTTCATTCTATGATAAATTTTTGTTCCCCCCCCCTTTACCCATATAAAAATAAATTAATCTCATACGATAGGAAATTTAATTGTATCTATGCATTTCTAATTTTTATTTATTTAATTTGTTGAGATTCCAGATTTGTTTCTCCAAGATTTGTTTCTTTATGACGAAAAAAAAACAGTTACAAATAAATTAAATTTACATCAGATCTAGAAGATGTGTGAGAATAATACTTTCAATATTATTTTCTCACATATTACATCACATATTTGAGAATAATATCTTCAATATTTGTATTTTATATTACTATTTTATATTAATCTATCTTATATATAAAATATTATTTGATATATAGTATATAAAATGTATTATATCAATTATTTATAAATGGAAGTATATAATTATATAAATAAATAAATAATATACATATGTATATATATCTAATTTTTGTATATAAATAAAATATTTATATATATGTTACGCACGAGCACGTAATGTTCGCGTTTACGCGGCGTTCCAAACGAATCGCGCACTCGTGCACGAAAATACACTCTTGGAATGTTTAGAACACAGAAACATTAATTAGTGATTGGGCAATATGATTGTAACGCAAAGTAATGTTACGAAAAGAATTCACGTTCAATTCGAAGTTTAGATATCATAAACAAAACAAAACAAAACAGATCGCGCTTCTCTTCTCGATGTTCTTTTGCGCTCGCGAACTCGATAAAGTTCCGAGGCACGAGGACAATGTCTCGAGTGACGCAAACGCAGTACAAACGCAACAATACTATAATATACATACTATATGTATATAATACATATATTTATACAATGTATATATATATATATTTATGTTCATACATATAATTATTTTTGTTAATATTTATATTATATAAAATAATGTCTAACTTATTGTTCTAAAATCATAGAGAGACATAGTTGCTTAGAGATATTTGTTAATATTATGCAAGAAACGTTTAGTGCATATTATTGTTTATATATAATTTCAATGCACCCTCAGATTCATTAATTTATCTGTAAAAGTGAAAGTAATACACATATTTTGCATAGAAATGAGTCTATCTGCTGTTCACTTTCAGCATTCACATGCATCATATTTGTATAGAATTTATTACACTTCAGTATATACAGCCAAGAGGGGGGGGGGGTGGTTCTTGATTTACATGAATATTTAACTCTGCATCGTATTTGTATATTATTGACATAAAAATCCTTGAAAAGTATAGTTTCCAATTATTTTCAAAAATACAATATATGTTTTACCTTGTGTTATGATACTGTGAAAACTTGCGAAAATATGTAAAATAGCCTTGTAAATCACTCCCAGAAAGGAGTTATTAATTGGAAAAGCGATCTGCCATAGAAAATGCTTACATTTATAACAGCAAGTAGACTTATTTTTATATAAAATACACATCTCATTTATTCTTTATAGATATCAACAAATTTAGGAGTATATTATGAACAGTATATTGCATGTAAAATTAAACGCTTCTTATCATTGAATCAATTGATAGATAAAAATTGTATGCATATAATATCATAACTTGCTTATACTTGATGCGGGACATTACCATGTCTCTTGAGATTTATCAGTTAATTAGGCAAGCATTTGTTAGATTTAGGCAAGAGTTTTTGTGACACATACTTCAATACAATCTGTTTTTTTTTTAATCGATTCAATTTAATCAGATCGATTTTTCATTACTAAGAATTATACTTCATAGCTATCATGGATTTCTATGTATACTTATTTTCATTTAAAATATCAAATTCGCAGATCTATGTTTAGAAATGCAGAGATATCGGTATTTATGTGGGTTCTTGCGATGTGTTTGTTTGAAGCTGCTCCTTATGCTTGCATTTGTGATATACAAAACTATCTGATTTTCTACTATTTGTTGTCATAATCGTTCGATACGTAAAAACCTTGCCTTTGCAGTAGCAGCAGTGTCTATCAGAGGGATGCGAATCGTCAAAGTGCTTCCTTATAGCAGCCCAGTTTCCCGAGATGACTTGGTTGCAATCGTCACAATAAACACGGGCTTGTCGAAATCTGTCATGAACCGAGTCCGTGACGACGTGACCTTCAACTTCCTCCAAATCTTGCACATTGACTGACATCTTGCATCTACAATTTAAATCACAGTTAATAGAACGTTCAGTATAAGAGAATTCTATTTGCAATATTTAAAATTTACTACACTCAATGAAAAATTTAGAGCCATTAACTTTGTCAAAAGAGTATTTCCAACAACAAAAAAGCATTTTAAATTTAACTCTTAGTACATAATGAGTTTTTAGTCCTTTTACTATACATAATTAATGGGATTAATCATGACTTTTACAAATATAAAAATTGTTAAGTGATTCTTACATCTACTTTAACATGTACAAAAATATACATGTGTAAAGTTATGTATTTAAAAAAAGAAAAGAATAGAATCCATTATTCATCCAAATGCTCCCAACATTTCAAAGAAAAGAAATGCACGAATGACAAAAGAAATCATGTGTACCAAGGATTAAATTAATGACACAGACTTTTAATTTTAAGCTCTTTCAATACGATTAAATAATGTTAATTACCAGTTTTTCTCAATGAATATGCAAACGTCTCAAACTCTTTTTTTTCCTCTGTCCACTTTCACTCGAAGCGAATTATTACTCGAAAATGAATTATTACGTTCAGGTTAGGAACCGTATGTAGGATTGTATTCAAATAACAGCAAATAATGTATTCTATGTGATGTTTTTCACTCCAATATCTGAAACCGTCGATATCTATTCTAATCACATTGCGTAATTATTTTATATATATATATATATATATAAGTACTTGTTGATCCAGCAATTGTTCCTACCAGCTCCTAGCTCCTACGACGTCAACGTATGAACGTCAGAGCATGATGAAGAAAAGGTATTTAACAATAAGTAATACATTAATACACCATGCGTCAAAGCAGAGAGAAATCTCTGTCAACGTCAACAGACGTCAGGCGCTTTCCCTCATTGTCAGATCAGGTTAGATCTTAAGCTGACTTGGGGTTCTTGGGAGTTCATAGAGTTGATGAAATGCTTTCCATTTAATACAAGTTGACACAAACATCATTCTTTCTTTCTTATTCAGAGAATAACAAAGATAAAACGATACTTGTATCAAATGGAAAACATCCAGTAAGGTAAATATAGTCAATGAATCATTGCATAAAATAACAAATATTTTAAGTATTAAGCTTTTAATTAATGATATGTATGATTCTAAATAAATTTGTTTTATTAAATTTTTATAAATAAATTTATTTAGAGTTGTAGATATCATTAAGAGCTTAATATTTGAAAAATGTTATTATTTTGTCTAATTGATTGAATCATATCCACTACAACTGTCCACCAGTGTCCACTAAACTGGTATATTTATCTTACTATTTCCTTATCAAATTACAAGCTGATATTATTTGTCATCATTTTGACATTAAAATGACATTAAAAATATCATTTTGACAAAATGATAAATAACATCAACTCTCTATTTAGATAAATTATATAATATTGAAAATTACTTATTTTTGAGTGTAAAATGCACAACAGTATTCTTAATAATTAAAAATTAATAATTCAACTTTCAGTATTAAAAATGTATTTTTTAACAAAATGCAAAAATACAAATTTTTCTATGTTATATTTGAAAATAGGAAAAAGTTTGAAGGCAATTTAGATCTGAATCAAATATTTTAATATAAGTAAACATACTTTTAATAATTAAGATAAAAAATAAAAAAATTTTCACTTATATATATAAAATTTCATTATTAAATATTGATCTTATTGAACTATATTTTATATGTAACATTCATTTTTACACGAAAAGTATAAATTTTCAACAAGATAATCAATAGACTCTAAAAAAAATTTTTTTAATAATTAATAAATAAAATGCCAATTTGAGCCAACGCTGGTTATTCGTGTGTATTTTATACCATTTATTCAAAGTGAATATTAAAACGTTTCGACCTACAAGGTCCTTTTCAATACAAAGAAATTTACTTAAACTATTAATTACAAAATTACATAATGATAGCGCATAAGAGTATAAACTATTAACGTATAAAATACGAAAAAACTGTGGTAGTGATATCCGAGTTAATCTTGATCATCAAATTACTAAGTTTACTAAAAAAGAAAGAGATTTTTTTGTTTTGAATCGATCGACCAAAAAGAGTTAAAAAATATTTCAAATTGCTAACATGAAGTTATCCACAAAAAATATAATAAAATAAACTTACATGACTGTCGAGATTGAATTGTCTCTATAAGATTTGTTGTACATGTTCCATTAGATTGTTCCATGTATTGTGTAATACAATTATGAATAAATTAAAAAATTAATATAAATAATAGTTAAAATCAAACTTTAGTTCACTTATATGAAACAAAATTAAGAATTATTAGGCACGACATAACTATTTGGTAGACGAATGTAAAATGCAAACTGAGAGAAAGAGTGGACAACAGAACATGTATTTACAAAGGTAATAAGTAAAAATAATAAATAACCAAGGATAAACGATATAAATTGAAAGCATTACGTCTCTGAAAATAAAATTATATATAATGGATTGAGAGAAACGGTATCATTTGGTAGATTCAGCTCTAACTTAAGTAAATTTTTTTTGTACTGAAGAGGATCTTGATCGTAGGTCGAAACGTATACGTTTTAATATTCACTTTGAATAAATGGTATAAGATACAGACAAATAACCAGTATTGGCTCAAATTAGCATTTTATTTATTATTTTTTATAAATTTTCAGTCCAGTCACTTTTTTTGGGAGATTATATATCTTGAAAATTACAAAAGTGAACGCAATCACTAGAATATTTATAATTTCATTCATCAGGTCAACTAGTGTATTAGTTCACCTTTGTAATTTTCATTTCATTTCAAAATGTACAATCCCTCTGATACATTATTAAATTCCTTTAAAGGTTATATAATTCACAAAAATATGAATGCAATTTAATTTCTCTTCCAAGAACATCCAATTGATTTTTGTGAAAAATTCAGGTAAAGTATAAACAAATACAAATAACTACGTGTATTTTATTAAAATAGAGAAGCAAGGGGATTATACAGAAGTCTTTAAATAAGAGCATCAGTGTCATTTATATGGGCTTAATTTTGAAGTGCAGTCCTATCAGGGAGAACACCAAGCATTTGAGATCCTGCACGAGGTAGTAGAAACACCGCAAACCCTCCGGGTCTCGCGACTGGTTCACGTCCAGGAGGGAGCCAGTCTTGGAGGTGGTGAACGATATATGCTCGTCGCCGATGACGATCTCCAGTTCCTGGCGTCCGACGCGGTCAGGCTGCGGCCAGAGCGAGTCGTCTTCCTGCATGATCTCCGAATCTTGGATAATGCGCTTGAGTTCTTCCATTACGCATTGGTGCACATATGCCTCCTTACGAATCATCGTGTCGTTCTTGTAGTTGGAGTTGTTGGCGTAGCGCAACTTGCCGTCCGGCCGGAACTCGAATTCCAGGAATTCATGCCCAAATTTGCCTTTGTGACCGACGTAATACCGTATGTAAAAGTCCGTCGACATTCTTACTATTGATTATCGTTCAGCAATTACGATCAGTAGCAGTGAAACGTTAAATGTTCAAGTTTCTGATGGCCTCTCGCAATTGACGTTCGCCATTAGCAAACATTAAGCCGCTTTTTCATGTGGCGAACTTAATGAACTACTCGATATTATTAGGGTCAATTTCAATGTATCGATTGACACGTGATTGGTTATCGTGAAACTGGCATAATGACGTATTTATATAAAATATTTATATAAAAATTATAAAATTATATTTATATATAAAATTGAGATAAAATTTTGTAAGTCTGAGAGTTCGGAATTTAAGGATGCATATATACTCGTATTTTTTAACAGAATAAAAAGATTATGAAAAAATTACAATTTTTTCAATATTGTATTTTTGTGTCTGAAAATGATACAGAAAGTGATTTAGAATCTGGATCAAAAAATATTTCAATAAGAAGTAAACATATGTTTTAAAGAAATAATTGAAGATAAAATGAGAAAACTTTTATTTAAATTATAAAATTGTATTATAATAATACAAACTAAATATAAATATTAAACCTTATTAAACGTTTCATATTTAACATTTATTTTATCAAAATAAATTTCCAATTTCTGCAGTTACTTTTTTGCAAAAACATCTGATACACAATAGTGTATCAGAACAGTAGTGTAGTCGAACCCTGTCGGGGCCTGGCGATGCCAAGATACTTTTTTCGGAAGCCAAGTCTGGTGGTGCGACGTCACACACGCACACACACATAAGGTTTTTTTCTATAATTATTTAAAACTAATTTTTTATGTTTGTAAATTGACAGTAAGAAGAAAGAGAAGTATTTACTGAAATCTGAATTGCGACATGATAATATGGTGTAGTTAATAAAAAAATCCAATCATACAAGGTGTCTCAGAAATAATATACGTGCTACTTTGAGGGCATAGAAACGGTTAAGAAGAACAAAAAAGTCTTATAACATTTTGAGATTTCGCTGTAATTTTCAAATAAAAAAATAAAACGTCGAAACCAATGCGCGGTGACACCACGCGGCGCGAATTCTATATGAAAAGATTACATTTCTCTTTTTTTTTATTTGTTTGTTTTACATGTTGCATATTGATGTTTTAAAAATCTAATAAACCTTTGTCCAAAGCACCGCCAGGGGCACTTTTATTTTTAGGACTACACCACTGCTGATACGTCAATCTTTAATCACCAGTTGATTCAAGACTATTATTTATTTCTGCTACTCTAGATTAATAACAAACTTGCTTACACAAAGTTAATTTCCAGCTTAAATTTAATGTTCCTAATCAGGGGCGAATCCAGAAGTTTATCAAGGGGAGGCCATTAACGCACCGCCAACGAAATTTTTTCAAATATAAAATATTTAAATTACTATTATATTGAAAAGTACTATAATCCGTGTGTCAAAATAGTCGATAAAAGTAACCTAGACAACACATTGAAATATAAGACGTCTTTAAAACGTCTTTTAGATGCCAAAGACGTCTTATGTCTCTCTTTTGGATACTTCGTGTTATCTGAGAAGCGAGAAGAACCATAGAAGACGACCATCTCAATCTCTTTTTATTCAATGGTGTAATGGGAGAGAGAACGAAAGAGAGATTGGCTGTTTTTTTATGGTCTCTTTCTCTTATTATAAGGTACTTTCCATTTGATGACACAAGTTGATACAAGTCGACACAAGCGTCATTCTATCTTTGATGACATTCAGAAAGTGACAAAGATAAACATTTGTGTCGACTTGTGTCATCAAATGGAAAGCAGTCATTGTCGACTATATTTAAATACTATTTAGGCTAGTATTTATAATTAGATCTTATATTCAAGACCGTCTTAAGTACGGTCTTGAAAAATCACGGACCAATCAG